TGTTGGTCAAGGATACCATGGGACAAGGAATATCGGCGATCAGCTTATTTTATACTATGGCATAGATTATTTTTTACACAATGAAATTGACGATAGTCCGGCTGATTTTCTTGATCCCGATCTGTACGACTTCCAGGATCTGGTTAAGATTAACCAGCATAATACAAATGTTTAAATCATCATAATTCTATTTGTAAATTGTACAGATTCATCTGGGTGTATTAGCGTAGCACGTCGATTTATAATTCGCAGTCAGATGTATCATTCTCTACTTTATATGAAACGGCAGAAAAGCAACAGTTATTTTGTAGCCGCCACACTTAATTCGACCGTTATCTTTGGAAAAATCTTAGTTTTTTATTTAATCAAAAATCACGACTCGTTTGCTCTAATTGAAGAATATGAAGAAAAACAGAATTTTTCAAGCTATTTTGAAAACAGTGGGTTTCATTCGTTTATAGAAAAGCCGTTGAATTTTTTTTTTTTGTTCTTAAAAAACGTCCTACGAGTACACCAGTTTCCGTACCTGTGTCAGCAATTTTACGTCAGTGCATAGTCTTTGAAATGCAAAATTCATATATTGCGACACCTTTGTCTCGAATGGACGAGCACGACTCTTTTGTATTTTTAGTAGATGAATTTTTTATCCGTACACTCTGCCGCTATACATGTGAAGAAACTTTTGTTATTTTTCTAGGTTTCAATAAAAAAAGAGTGTACGAACATTCTATCTTTTTTCGAACATAGTATCTTTTATGAAACTCGGTTTCCCCTTGCTATTGATACTTTAATTCTCGGAAGGCTTCTAGATTGTAGATTATTGCAATGGCTACCGGTGGAGATAACGGTCGTTCCAGACGAAATATGATACCACGAAATGTCTATAGTCCGGATGAATCGTTCTATTGTGTCATGGATGTTTTAAATCCAAATAAATATCATTGTATTGATAAAGATTTGATTTTAAAACAAAGTGGGAAAAAAGTGATAGTACGAGATGGTGATAAAATACTTGAATTCGTATTAATAGCTAAAGGTACAGAAATTTCTTTATTTCAAACATCTTTACTTCCTACGCTGTTCTAGAATTTCAGCATCCGGCGTCCGGTTAAGAATGCTCTTCAAATTTAAGGGTCGGAGATTTTTTCTGTCGCAGACACCTGAGGCGGACAGCATTTGACGGTAGATTCTGGCGCTGATTCCGAGTATTGATTTTAAATTTTAGAAAAAAAATCAAATCTTAGCGGAAAAATTAAGTTACAAATTGTAAATATAATTTCCTGACTTAGACATTATCGTCAAAAAATTGAAATATACATTATTCAGCATAGAATTAATTTCTCTACAAAATTTAGTGTTTAGAAAAAATCTTCATTTCTGAAAACCAGTTTTTGAAGCTAGCTATTGTCTTGTTTAAGTCCAAACGGTTTCTCGACAATTAATAATTTTTCAATAGTGTTTTCGAAAGAGAGAGTCGACTTCTATGTACTTACACGAAAAAGTTTCTCGCTCGACCTGGTTTCGTGATAGAATGTGACCTGCGGATTTGAAAGGTCAAAAGAAGATGAAATTCCTTCACGGAACGGTTTCTAAATTAGCGTGTTCTAATACTGAAAATAAGTCCATATTTTCTGATTATTTTGCAAGTTCTGAACAAAATATGACGAAAAAAGCAGCAGATTTAACACGCATGTCATCGCAATCGGAAGAAGAAAACCAAGAACCGGAGAATGATGATGGATATAGTGGTGGTACTCGTCGTGAAAGTCAGGTTGCTACAGCATCTCGAATAAGTAAGATTTTTGTGTAATAAACATTTGTATTTGGTCATATTGACGGAGTTTTGAAACCTCCCCTGCAAAAGCTCAGAGCAATCGTTCTATTTGCCTTATTTTCCTTTGCAGCTACAACCAATAATTTTGTAGCACAACCTACAGGAAAGAGATCGAGCGTTTTCGATTTAAGCGGAGAAGAGGAAGAAGATGAAAATGGAAGTGTTCATTTCGCTCGTATGGGTACTCAGCGAAAGACCGTACGACGGCGCAGTCTACCGCCAACTCAAGATCTGGACGAGAGTCGGTCGTCTAAAAATAGTGCAACTTCGGCCATCAGTAATAACTCAGTTTATACAACACCTGTCCCTAATAATGTATTAAAAGATTTAACAGAATCTATAAAAGGACAAATAGCAGATCTCACTGATAAAGTAGTATCGGCTGCAAAACAAACAAGAAATTTAGTAAATGTTCTCTTCTATTACGGAAGTGACATATTTGTCTTTTTATTGCGATATTTTACTCTATTTCACAGATTAAACAAAAGCAAAATGATTGAGAAACTGACACATCGGGAACATATTTGAAAGAAATTGTAAGTTCAGAGTGTGAACGTCTTTAGAGAATTCCATTTTCTATTTATTAGATAAACTGCCTCTTCGCCTTTCAAAACTCAGCAGTCGTAGTTCTACTAGGCCATAAAGTATTAAGGGTATCCCTCTCTTTTTTTCTTTAAAACTGCATTTGAGTTAAGGTCACCAGCTTGTAGAGGACGAATTATGTACAAAATGAGACCAGTCCCAGCTCTGTGCGATCTTTCCTTAAAAAGTTATGAACTTTTTAAAATAAAAAATATTTTCAAAAAAATTTTAAAATTTAATTTCTGAAATTTTTTCTCATTGGGACAAAACGAAAACTTTTTGGACACGATAACCATGTGGTTCAAGCTATCTTCTTTAAAAAAATACATTTTCCGCCGCGCATGAACAGTTTTTGGTTGAGTTATACGCATTCTACGAAAAGCATAATTTTTTTAGTGCCTTTTCCATATCTGCGTATAGCTCAAAATTACACCGGTCAAGCATGGTATACTTTGCAGCTACCAAAAATTTCGTTCGATCGGGTTGTAATTTTTACCGCATAAAATTTGCCAGGATCCTGTTTCATTCAAAAGTTATAGCGTTTTTAGTTTCGAAATCCGGTTTTGAACAACACGATTTTTGTTTTTGCTATACGTAATGGACGAAAATGAAAAACGGAGTTTTTCTAGAAAACTTCTAAAAAGCTGTTCCAAATAAAGAGATTACAAGAAGATCTTGAGGTTTATGGGAGAATATCATTTGATAAAAATTTCGAATCTCCACACCTTTGCTCTGCAATACATTGAAATATATAAAAAAAGGGAGGCGGTATCCTTAAAAAGGATACCTGAAATCTACAGATACTGTGAGTAATATGTTTAGATATACGATGGACAGAATCTGTTATTGATACCAGGACTCAGTCCTGCTGAATTTGGTCGTAACGTTCTGTCTACCTTATTTGCTGATAATGAATTAGCAACGCATACAATGCCGTCGTTACATCGTCATAAACGTCGTCCGACCGATCCACCAACATTGGATGCCGACAAAATTGATATTTTAAAAAGTGAGCGAACATTTTTCACTGACCTGTCGTGTCCTTCCTTAGTAAAAGCGGAGAGCAACTGACATAAAAAATAGGGCAAAATTATTCTTGCTTTTTTTTCTATTATTCGGCCGAAAACCAGAACGAATTTATTAGCAGAAGTACGATAAGGTTGAGTTTTTTCACCGCTACAGTCATTTCCTATTCATGGCATAAAAACTTCAAAACAGTTTGAGTTTTGCGGAGGATGCATAGTGACAAAGGAGCTTTGAAAAGAAAGCTTTTGGCAGAGGAAACTTTGTTATTATACAATTGTATAACTAGCTTCTGTCATTTAGGTACAATTCGAAATAAATTTTGTATGACTGAAAAGTTTTTTGCAACTTATTATGAATTATGTATTGTTCAAACGTTGCGAACAAAATGTTCGAATGCGAAAATCAA